GTTTGTTTACCTAGATGAAATGGGATCTTAGATCCATAGGACCTTGGAGAGGTTCTATAAAACCTACAATAAATGTTGATGAATTGCTTTGAGATGCTTGAGAGGTGGCTTGGGGATTGCAGGAAGATGGAATTGTGTTGGACATGGACCTGCTACAGACCCAAGAGCACGCCTTTTGGAAAAAACGGAGCAAAGCTACAGAAAGACGAGAGTGTCAAAGAGTCTCTTCCTGGCCTCTGGCTGTTCAGATGTTTCTCCACTGGCTTCATGAAGGCTTATATGGCACAAAAAAAGGATTAAGGAGGGTGAACATCCAGGATAAGGAAGAGGATAGTTTGGCTATTTTCAGGGACAGTGGGACAATGGAGTTCCTGGCTGCAGTACCCACAACCTGCTTCCAAATTTCTGCTTTATAGCCAGTATCAGTGTGAAAAAGCAGAGAGCTGCTTTGAAGCCTTTCGCATGCAAGTCATCACTTCCTTCTGTGTTTCTTTCAGAATGAAAATACTGAAAATCTACTGAAAATCCTTTTTTGAAAATTATAGAATGAAACTCTGTATTTCAAAATTGCGTAGTGCTTCTGCAAGTATGTAACAGAAACTATTTAAAAATATTCACTATGACTTTCTTTATCTGATTAATAGTCTTTTTATAATTAGGAGCTTTTGAATATTTCTGTTACTGTTAGAGGCCTCTGATTACTCACCCTAGAACTTTGTTTTCTTTTTACAAAGTGTTTTGAAGTTTTATCTGTCTACATAGATGTTTTTCCAGCTCAGAGCTTTGTAGTGGCTGATCATATTATCTGTTATGCTTTCTATTTTGTTCCCAAGACTCATTATTACACATTTGTGTAGAAACAAATTGTGCAAACCACCTATCTGCTTACGTTTCTAGTCTGTCCAGAGGCTTACGTAAAAATAATCTGTCATTTTCTTCTTCTAGAGCAGTAGAAATTAACAATTTCAATTCAAGGCACCTGCTGTAATATTCTGCTTTTAAAAAAAATGCTGGTCAGTGCCTCTCATTGTATGATCAACACCTTTTATGAATTTCTGAATATTCTGTTCTTCATTTTTATGATATATAACATAAGGAGATTCCCAGTAATGGTGATACTACAGTGGCTATCTCTGGCCATCTACTCCCGGTAGTACTATATTTGTCCAAAGAACTCTGAAATGCAGAAGTGCCTGAGATTTTTGGTCAAGTTAAGGAAATTTGTTTACTACATTCAGGATGATTAAAGGGAAGGTTGATAATATAAGCATGCAAATTTAATTAGGAAATTTCAAGCAGTTTTTGAAATGCAAAAGAAATAACTTTGTGCTTCATCTTTCAGTGATGTTCCTTTAGGTGAGGTCATTTGTTGTTTTACTCATTTTTGTCTCAGAATTGAAGCAAATTGAGGATGTCAGACTTTGCCTCACAGTGTGGACCTGACTGAGATGAAATGATCAAGATAAACTGAAAAACTTTGTTGATAAGCCAGAAGCTGATGGGTCCCCACCACAGCTTTGTCTTTGGTGTCTGAGGCTTCATAGCCTGCCCAGAGATCAGAGCCAGGTACAAAAGAATGCAGGGCTTTTGTTTCCCCACCCCTGTATCCTCCCAAATTCAGGAAGAATCTTCAGTCCTGTTGTAATGGAGATGTGGGCTAATGATGCAGGAGATGGTGTCATTAAACAGGTGATTGTGTTTCCTGTGGACTGTCAGTGTTTCTACAGGTCAAGCTTTGCTCCTACTTCCAGGAAAAACTGGATCACAGCATATTCTCCAGTAAGACAGTTTCTATTTAGAGTACTCCTTACTCTCCAAGGTTAGAGGGCTTCCAGGGACAGGATGTTCAGGAGTACGTGAGACCTCCTTTGATTTCAGGTGATTTCCACAGCCCTTGCTGACTACCAACCAACGAATCTTTCCGTGGAGATTTGACAGCCCTAGTCAGGACCTCACTGGAATGCGATGAAAAACGCCACCAGCCTGGTCAGCATTTGCTCCTGCAGGCACATGCTCTGGAGACTGCCTAGGGCAGGCTGACAGGGAAACTGTTTCTCCCACCAATTGTTCAGCCATCTCTGTTTGCTTGGAGGGTTTTCTAGAAAAAGGACTGCTCTAAGGAGAACTTAAGCTCTCTTAATACATCTTTGTCCCTATTCCTGAGGTCTCCTCAGTATTAAGAAAAGAAAGACAGCTTGACCTGTGTTCCTGCAGACTTCTCTTTCTCAGGATTTATTTATTTTACTCACGAGGCATCTCTAAATAATCTCCAAACCTTGTCCCTGTGCTATGGCTCTTCTGTCACTCACTGCCTGCCTGCATTTTAAAGCTTAATTCAGCTCCTACTGATGTTAATAGGTATTCTTGTGTAAGAACAGAGTATGGCCCTTGGGGTCTGGTGCTTCTGTCGTGCTGTAGCCATGGAAGGTGGTGGCCTTTTGCAAGATGTGCTTGACACACAGCCACCTGTGGAGAATGCTGATTTGGTAGCAGTTAATACATTCATTTCCCTTGGTTGTATGTGGCAGCTCAAAAAGCAAAGGCACAAAAAGCTAGGCCATTAGTGATATTTTTGCTGACTGCTTCTCTGTAAATCAAAGCCGGTATTCCCCTCTCCTTTCTCGATTAGTGTTTCGGTTGTTGTGCATAGTACCTTCCATATTTTAATTCACAGCATGTGAAAATGAGGTCCCGAGCACACATGCACGGATTTCATCTTAACTACCCAGTGAAAAGGTTTAATTAGAAGTTTCATATGGAAACATGAAACAGAGTTTGAAATTAGTGGTGACCTTGTGGCCTCTCTTGGATATGCTTTGATACCATGTGGCAGACAGTTCCTGGCTTTTTTGTCCCTATCTGGTACATTCACATCCAAGTGGGGACCACTGTGATGTGTGGGAGCAGCAGCAGCTGCTTGTTGCAGGTAGAAGTACCTTTAGCTTCATTTGGTGACTTGGAAAATAACAGAATAACCTAAATCTGAAAGATCATGAATGGCATCTGGTATTTGCTTCAGCGACTTGCTGGAGTGGATGGATTTTCAAAGCAGAAGAGAAAGCATAGAATGCTTTCATCACCTTTTTAGTTTTGTAGCCATAGCGTGGTGCCTCTTCCCTTTCTAGGGGAACTCATATTTATTAAATAAATGCAGTCTCAGCTTATCCCTTTTACCAAATATTTTTGATATAATGAGTAGAGGATTATTCACCACAGGAGCCTTTGAAATATGTGTGTAAATACAACTACAACAGTTAAATCAATTTAGTACTTGCAAAAATAATGTTGTTTGGCCACATTTAGCAGGTTAATAAGGAAAATTGATGTGTTTGGGGTCAGGGAAAAGACACTAATCAGAGCTGACTGGAATGGAAAGGCCATAATTTCAATGCTCATATGCAAATAAGTTTCAAGATAGAAATCAGACACATTCAGACCTAGGTTTCCTTGTGTCAGTGGCGTCGTCTAGAAGGATACCAACATTCTAGCTTTTCCTGCCTGTGTACAATACTTGAATCTGTACGATGGCATCCACACATTGATTCAATCTGTCTAAGTGTGTTGCTCCATTCACAATGCCCATAGCAAGCCGATCATTGGGCTATATTGATTTCTTTAGGTTCCTTAGATTTGATGAACTCATGTATAGGGAGCACGTGACTTCTAAACTAAACTCTGCAAAAAGCACTTTACTATTGCTCACCACAGAGGTAAAAGAAAGAAATTAAGCCTGGGTGGAGGTGTGGGTAGTGTCATACCTGTTTTATCGCTCACCTGAGCTTCTCACCGGAGCAGCTTCCTGTGGGGAATGAGTTGTGCCCCGTGCTCTCTCAGGAGCCCATCAAATTCTCCTCCTTGTGAATGGTGGCACCAGCAAGGGGAGCCTTCCTCAAGGTTTCTTTGATGATGTGGCAGAAACCTGCTCCACCGAGCAACATAAGGTGCTTATGCATCCTGCATGTGAAGTGGCAGTACCCCCATCTCCCTCTGCAGAGGTAACGTGCATCTGGGCGGACGTGCTGTACACGGCTAAAGAAGCCTGCCAACCTTGCCAAGAGCAAGGTTGGCCACTTACAAGGACTGCTTATGGGACCCGTTTTCATGATTGTCAGGCAGTCTCAGGAACAAAGAAGCTGCTTTAACCTGATGAGCCATCTGTCCTCCCCGCTTTCCCCCATCAGACTGCATCAATTTTGCAGCTGAGAGAAGTTTCAAATCCTTTTCGGTTGTTTTGTGGTCCCTACAAATTGCTGTGCCCCTGTGCCAGTGCTGTGGGCAACACCGTTCTCCTGCTCACTAGCCAGTCCCTGCTGACAGAAAAATGACACAGTGGTATAAAGAGGGCGAAATGGTCTCCCTGAACAAACTGCAGCAGGTGATAGATCTCTAATGTGGAAGCCCAAAAGGGTGCTTCCCTAAGGATAGCCTTTTTTCGTTTGTTTGTTTTTTCTGCCTCACTTTACACATTTCCTTGTAGGAACCTGTGCAGGAACCGAAGGAACATACTCCAGTTTTACAAAAAAAGCCATAGTGCCTGTGCTGACTTGCGTGGGATCTGTGGCCACTTGTAGCACAGCCTTGCGCTGGGTGGCTGTAGCCTTCCAGGGATCCATCAATGCTCCCCCGGCTGCCTCATGGACACACAAAAGCAGACATACCTATGTGGGAAAAGCATTCATCATGAAACAGTTCTGTTCTGTGCAGGGGAAAAAAATGGTAGAAATCTCTTGCACCATTTTCCTTCTCAGCTGCTGTTGTAATGCAGCTAAACTGTCTCCAATACTCACCAGCTAATCAGTCGGCACATACTGTTTCACAGCAGTGACATGGGAACAGTTTATTTGTATTAGAAAAATGCTATTCAGTAAACTTGGCACATACATATTATTTTTAAATGCTGTTAGTTTTTAACCTGTAAGCATCCTGTAAGTGTGGAAATGTTTTTTAAAAAAAGCAACGTACTTATTTCTTTATGGTATAAATTCATGCCTTACCTGCAGTAAGAAGAGATGAAGATGTTGCATTCCAGCAGAAATACCAACAAGCTGTAAAAGGTGCTTAACCATTACAATGCAAAAACTAACTAAAATCTCATAGGCATTTGTAATTTTTGATGTAATTCAGTAAAACTGTGATTTCCTGTGTTCTAGTGCTCTGGTGCATGGAAGAAATCTGCATTAAATGGCCAGTGCTTATCCTGCTTGGAATTGATTAAGATCCAATAATATTTCCTATTCTGGGGATTTTTCCTTTTGGCAATTTTGCTAATTCATATCAAAATGCTCCCATCACTTTTGCTGTTGTAGCAAATAATTAGTTCCACTTCTTTTTATTTTCCTTTTGATTTGCCATGCATATGTTAAGTGCTTGCTACAGCAAAACTTCTCACTACCTTAAACAATATATCTAATGAACTTTATCTGTATTGCATTGTTAATGGTAAGGAGCTAACTCTAAACAGAGTGGGGCTTTTATGAAAATGAAAGCCACAGAAAGTTGCTTTATCATGGGAAATCACTGCCAAATGTCACACGAGCTCCTACTTTCCCGGCATACACAATATAGAGAAACATTTGTTCCTTTCCAGACCCTAGCTACATTCAGCGTCTTGACTGCTTTACTACCAGTTGCTTTACCTCTTTTCAGTACATGAATATTTTCCATCAAAATGGATCATTGTGAATTTACCTCTGTTGAAGTAGCAATAGAGATATTATAAAGGTATATAAAAACTAGAGGCTTAGCTCATGCTATACAATTTTAATTGGATTAAATATTTCATTTTTAGAATATTCGAATTTTTAGTGAGCTGAAACTTAAAATCTGATCATTTGGCAATGATTTTGTAATTTTAAAATTCAGAAAAAGTGCATCCTGAATACGAAATGAGTGAAAGTTACTGCTGACTATGATCTCTGTTGTTTATATCTTGACTTTGAAAACTGGGTTAGTTTAATATTCTCCACATTACTAACCTTGAAACATAGTAATTGGGAAGATAGTATTGAAGGTTCGCAGTATTTTTATTTCACTTAGGACTGGGAAACAGTTTGAAAATTGCCGGGGGTGGTGGTGCAATATAGATAGGGGTTTAAGATAGAGCTGACAGCTTGTATTGTCTTTACCGAGTGAGCAGTTACAGTGTTTCCTGCATATTCATTACTTATATTATGAATAAAAATTCCTAACAAATCTTTGGAATGCTAGATTGTGATAATTTGTATTTTAAGGAATCAGATCAAAGTGTAAGCAACCTCTGTTTAGAGTCATGAAAATATAATTCATTTTACTAAAAACCTAACAGAAACCTTACACTGAGATTTTAAATGCTTTGTCTTTATCTCCAGTCGAATTACTGTGGTCTGTGTGTTTCTGATTGCATTCTCCTAATCCTCCTATGTCTGTGTTAATATTCAAGGCATCCATAAGGCTCAAGTCCTCCTGACCTACTGTTGTAGTTATGATGATGCATAAAATAAATCACGGCAATGACTGAGGCCGTCTCAAGCACTTAGTAACTCAGGCAATTTCTTCTTGAAACATGACTGAGCTGAAGAAAGGTTCATTAGTTATTTCCCTGGAGTACTTGGATATTGTAACCCTCTTCATGGGCTTCTATGAGGGAGTTAAGACCTGGTTGCTTGTTCACACATCTCATTTTCTCTCCACTCTCCTCAGCCGTTCTCTGGCAGCTGATGAATTCCAGAGCATGTCTCTTCTTCCCCCATGGTATCTCCTTACCCCTCAAAGTTCAGGTCAAATAGCGCATGACCAACCGGATGGGAAGGAAGAGCCCAGCAAGAGTAAAGTAAACAGGTTTAGGAAGTCAGTACTTGAAGGTCTGATGAGATAGGGTGACTTTCTGAGACAGAAAACTACAAAAATCGTTTCCTGAGTCACCCAGAAGAAGTTGGTTAGATGAGATCTTACACATATGCAGAAAAAGAGTGTCTGCTAATGACCATGAAATTCATGTTTTGTTGTGTAGGTTGCTAGGAGCACTGATAACCTGTATTAAGCTATGCGAGCCAGGGAGGAATCAAAGTCAGAAATGGGAGAAGGAAGGTCCAAAGCAGAGATAGAAGAGCTGCAGTGTTTCCTGGGCGTCATTAGAGGAGTTGCTGTTGTCCGGTAATAGGATGTGGTGTGAGGAAGCGAAAGGCATCAAGCAAAGATATGTATCAGTGAATGGCGTCAGGAGAAGATACACGTCAGTGGATGTTTGCATCCCAAGGGGGAGCCATTGCTGCTGAATGAAACCTTTGATATAGGAAGCTGGCGAGTGGCATGGCGCTGGTGCCCCATATGGCAACACTGTCCTGCAGTGGGACTGCTGTTACAGAATCACAGAATCATAGAATGGTTGAGCTTGGAAGGGACCTCTAGGGGTCATCTAATCCAACCCTCTTGTCCTCCCATGACTGTCAAAGATGTCCTGTAGCCATCTCTTCCTGTAGGTGACATCATCCAAGGAAGATGTCTCGGGAACCTGTCGTGGATGCTGCTCCTTGTGGTGAATTAAAAGGATGAGAAGGGAGCCTTGTGCAGGCACAAGAATTGCTGAAGAAGAGCTAGAAAATGGCAGCAGTGAAACACAGCCAGAGCATGGGGCCTGAGGGATATTTGGATGCTTTCTGAATGGGACTGGCGGGTGGAAAGATATGGTCTGAGGGGATCTTTCTGGAGAGAGTTGGCTTTCAGCAGAACGGGGAGGAGGGGAGGCCCTCTTGGGGATAGGATATGCATTAGTTACTGATAGCATTGGGGGCCCCAGGAGATGTGCAGCAGCCTGGCTCAGGGCTGAGTCAAGGGTAGATCAGATGTCCTTGTTTTGAGGGTGGCAACATCCATCAGGAGGGTGAGGTGGATGGCTGGAGGCAGTAACCGCTTTGGCCGCCCTGCGCGATGTGCTGCTGCATGTCTCGCAGGCTCCTCACCCATCAGCAAGCGTTTTCCCTGGTGCAGAGTTGGTTTTGGTGGATGATCTCATGCAAAAATCACATTTTGGGTACTTTTGTCAACTTTTTTTTTTAGAAGTCCAAGTAAAATCTGACATTTGCTGCATTGTGCTGTGCATTCCTCACCAAGGGGACAGTCTGTGCAGAGGAGGACACAGGAATGCACACATGAGTGTTTATTCAAGATGCCTTGCATCTCATTGCAGATATCGTGTGATTTTAGTGGTTGCCATGGTAATTATGCACTTTGCATTCCATAACTTGAATAAATGTTGAGATTGCCCTTGATATAACTAACTTACCTTCTTCCTAAAGTTGTAGCAATTGTATTATCTAAAGATAACAGCGAGGAAACTCCCAACATTCATACCAAAGTACATTGTCACAGAACAGAATTAGTTAAGTAACAGATATATTATTCTGTTTGGAAAAAAATATAAGTAATTTAATTTCAGATTACTTCATAAAATAGGAGAAGTGTAAAATGCTGCTTTATAATGTGAATGGCTGGCATTATTGTATATTATTCTGCCATCGTTATTTCTGTTTGAGACAGTTTTGGTATCCTTCAAAACATGTAAATATAATTAAATATATCATTTTGTACATGCCATCTTTACAAAGGCATACAAGAAAACATTTTTTTTCTTTTTTTCACTGTAGTCTTGAAATGAAATTTCTTTCTTGGTAATGTAGCCTCTACTTTTAAATGAAGTATTGCTGATAACAGATGGTTAATTGTTGACTCACAATTTCCCATACTGATTCTTTTTTTTTCCAATTGTGGATGAGAAATTTGTACCAAGAACAACAACAACAACAAAAAAGATCCTCTGATTTTCTCCTGTGTGTGTTTATAACATGTTGGAGAAAAGCATCCTATATAGAAGCAGCCTGATTTTTCTCATTTCTGTGATGAACTATTTGTTGAAATCAGTGAGAAATGCAGAATCAAATTTGCTATTAGATGAAGGGAGTGAGCTCTATTTTTCCGTCTACTCTCTTTTTCATTTCTTTTTGGCAGGCTGATTGCATGCTCTATACTGTGCTCTCTCCTCAGGATACATGACCAAGTCTGCCAGTGATTAGTCGCTCATCTATTTTTGAGTGATTTAGATGCATGAATTAATTAGGAACAAAAGAGCCATTAGAAAGCATCAGTAAAAAGGCTGGTCTTTTCAGGACGTTTTGGAAGGAGTTAAAACCATCATCCAAATAAAGAAAATTTTATTTGCAGTGAATCATGCTTTTATCAAAAGAAATAACAACACTGTATGTAACTTAGTTAAAACAAAAACAAAACAAAAAAAACCCAACCCCCCCAACAAAACACAGGATATAACTCTAGTTTATGACTTTTGCTGTTTAACTAGAGGTTAAATAAACAGTCTTAATTTTATATATTTGCTTTTGGTCTTTTTTTCATGCTTTCTATTATAAGCTCCCATTAAATATCAATGCATTTGAGGTATTTTGATTCCAGAGTTCTTGAGAAGGAGCTCCAGTTTTATATAGTGTTCTGATTTTTAGAACTTATCTTAAGCCTTTTGTGAGGCCAGAGCTAGATATGGGTCTTTGCTGAGTGCTCAGTCTTGAAAAATCAGCTGCTTCCTTCTGCAAGCATAGATACTTGAAGAGAAAGAAACGTGTTTTACAATGATAAATGTAGCTAGCAGAACATCAGTTAATAGACAAGTTATAATCTTACAAGTTTGGAATCCTGGGTTATAATGTGGATAGTGTATATCTGCTCCCATTTATTTTTTTTTCTGCTAGAGTAATGGCATTGTCAGTGTGAGAGCTGTTAAGAATTTAAGGCAAAAGACAGAAGTTTCTCTTGTAGACACTAAATGGATAAGGGTTTATTATTATTATTTTTAATAATACTTTACTTCAAATATAAATTGGAGTGAAAGGCAGAGGAAAAGATTAAGTATTGTCGGTTTGACTTAAATTGTAGGCATCCAGCGCTGCTAATTAGAGCTACGTAAGACTGATGGTTTCATATATTTACTGCCATATTTCTTCATTCTTTCAGGAGTCCTTATTTATCACAGTGGCCATAATAAAGGCTCTAACGGCTTTACATGGATGTC